TATTTTAACTAAGATCACCTCTTTAAAAACAAAATTGATTTTGTTTTGGAGAAATAATCTTTGACTGGTACAGTTTAATATCAAACTGATTTAAACTGAATATGTGTTTAGGTCTTCCTTGTGGTCATTATATACTGAAAACATATTTGCTTCTGGAAAATGCTTAACACTGATTCAAAGAAAAGAAGATTGAAAAAAAAAAAAAATCAAAACCAAACATTGTTAAAGTACTTTCCTAATTTTGTTACTGCTTTCAGAAAAATTTGGTTTAAATAAAACTTACAGGTGAGTTTTATTTGAACGCCCACTAGTCACATGGCAGTGTGAAAGAAATGTTGTTGATCTAGAAAAATATTATTGTTATCGTTTAATTGTGTGTTTTTCACACAGAGTTTACTTTCTAACAAAGTATGTCGTAGCTTGACCTTGCAAATAAAATAAAATCACAAGAATACGGCAGGTGCAAGAACCTCTCAGTTTCAGATAAAGCACAGATTTGAACGGGGCCCTTTGAACTGTCCGAAAACTTGACCTCGCCCAAGTTGTTTTCTGACCAACACAATATCAACTTTAAAAACATTACACTGAGTCATAAATAATTTTAATGCAATTATTTCATTTTGTAGGAGTTTTTTTTTATCTAATGATATAAAAAACATCCTAAGCAAATAAAATAAAATATTATAGAATGTATTTCTTTAAAGAGGAAAACAATGACAATCATTAAGCATTAAAATTTTTCATGACCAAACTTTATTTATTTTATTTAATTATTTGGCCTAAATTATTTATAATTATACATTCTGAGAGAAGGTTAGACATAATAACTATCTTTAATCAGAGGTGATAATTTCAATTTTAAAAAAATTTATAAACAATAATAAGGGGACTCTGAAGCACTCATTCTAATTTCACGTGTCTTATTTCAGATCTTTTATAGCGAAATCTTTCTTAGTTTGAAATAAATTAAGCATCATTAAGACACCTGCAGTTGATGTTATAGAAATAACATTTAAAATAATGTTTCCTTGTAATGGACATTTTATAATCCCTTTATTAATTTATTTTCACTCCTTTTTTAAATTCTGCCATTATTACATTTTCAGAATTTAAAATTTACTTTCTAAGTTACAATTAATTTTTTTCACTAAAAACATTTCTTATCAATTTATAAGCACCATATTTTGAATAAACAGCAGTGAACAAAATAATTAAAAAGTTGCAGCTAATTACTACCTATGTCAGAAGATCTAATGCCTAATTACTATTCATGATGAAACATATGTACATTTTCTACATATATAAATGAATTCATTAAAACAATTTCGATTTCAGGTATATATGTTTTTTTTTTTTAATTTTTTATCAAATTTTATTCAATTTCTAATTATCCTTACACTTTTTAAACATCTTACCAACATATAAATAAACAGCCTTTAAAATAATCACCCATTGTTTTCTAGTTTATAAATTATTTAAAATGAATTAATATTTCATTCATTTAATTATTTAAAGTAAATTTAAATACACATGCAAATAAAATTATCTTGGTGGGAATAAACAATCAACCCTGGCAGATGCTCCATTTTACGTTGGGAGGCATTTTTGAAAAACCGCTTATCATAAATCTGTCATTTGTTGTAAGTTTAAACCCACAACATATCACCTTGTTAACATCTTTTCTTTTTTTTTTTTGCCAAAACAATTTCTTTTTTTTTTAAATACATTTTATACTTTTATTACACTGACAAAGAATCTTACTCAGAGTGATAAAAAATATATAAATGTTTTAATAAAAAAAAATCACAAAGATGAGAAAACTATTCAGACTGATGTCTATACTAAGCTGAGTAAGGGCCAGATAAGCTTTATATTTGTGACTCTGAACATTTAACACTAACACAGGGATTTTATCAAGCTTGGTTTTGCTCAAAGAATGGCATAAGCTAAAGTATAGTTTTATTGAGTAAAAGGGTACATGTATAACTATATATAGCCATACCTACTGCTATATCCCACAATGTCAGCCATCTTGGATTTGTCAAAATGGCCAAGGATATCTTTTTGATATGTGCAAGATTTTCATTTTATTTGGTTAGAAGAATGTGGAGGGAGATCAGAAGAAAATACGTCAAGAAAAAAGAAAAAGGACAAAAAGTTTGGCTGACATACGAATAGCAATCTTTGTGTAGAAAAGAAGAGGTATCATATATGTATTATTCTAAATGAAAAAGGAAGACGTAATCATTTAAGTGACTTATTGATGGGGAAAATAAAGCAAAATGAAATTAACAGGATACTTATGTTCATATTTCATGCTCACTTTCTTCTAAATACACGACTGTATATAATCTGTGCCTTTTTAGAATTCTAAATTTACAAAATGACAAAAGACGGAACTTACAGAACAATTAAATGACAAGTTCAGGGAAAAAGACGACTGAAATTCACAGAATGCTAAATCTCAAATTTCAGTGCTGGTTTTTTTTTTTTGAAAATAAATGACAGCAATCAATCTGTTATTACCTCGTACCTTTTCAAACGAACAAACATATCGAATATACAAAATGCATGCTATTACGTAAAACTATATTTCTCACGTTTTACTGAAAAAAAGAAAAAACACCCACTATCATAAAATGTAACTAAAAATTGGGATGTTCAGTACCCTTTCAAAAATATAACTGTTTGTGGAAAAAATCACATTAAAAAATTTCAATGTCACTGCAATCGATTCACAGAACCATCGTGAATATTAACAAAAAACGAAGGATTTCAGATATTTCGTCTAAACGTGCGATATGACTGCAAAAAGCTCATTTCGCATCAAAGTCTCATTCTGAAATAAATTTCAAATAAGAAAGATAAACTTTTGACCAACTGAAAAAAAGAAAGCACAAATACACTTCCATATACAGCCGCATTACTTCAAGCATTAAAATTGCGCAGGCGCGACATTGCGCGCCTACTGATCACGCGACGATTGCATGAACAACTCCTAAAGGTCAAACCTAAGGCACTGTATGGTAAAGCGCAGATGCTCCGCATAACAATTGAGCTTTCTTTCCTGCAGTTATCGTAATGCGACACACAGCGATCAATTTTTTTTCTTTTAACAAACAACCCACAAGCGAGGATAGGACTGGACTTTCAACACCTGAAATCCACATCTGTTACTCAAAAGTACACATTAGATTACCCTAATTTAAATAAATCTTCTCTATTTTCAAACTCATAATTTGAAAGCTTAAAGCTAAATTTAAAAAAATCCATTTTGTTGTGTAATACATCATTATCGTAATACCATCTTGCCTGTCTAGACTTAATAAGTGCAGAAAAATAACCACAAGACTCAGCTCTCGCTTCTCTCAGCTCACCCAAGATAATAAAAAATTGCAATCGTACACATATAATAATCGATACCATAAAACATTTAATCCAGCTTAGGGCGAAAATCAGTTTTAGGGGAAATCTGTTAAAAACTTGATGTAGTAATAAAAAATCAAACCACGAAGCAACAAAAGTGCATCATGCAAAAATGCGAAAACGTATATGTTATTAAGATGCACAGTCTATCAAAAGTCCATAAAAAAAACTTACTTAAAAAATGCATTTCACCTCAAAATCTCGAATCATCGCGGTATGTTAAGCATGCATGCATGTGAAATGTCAGCACACGGGGGCGAAAACATGTGGAATCCATTTATTTAAATCACTTAAAATCATAAGGGCGTGAAAAAAAATGGCGCCACTTGGACGAATGAAAGGCAAGCACATTTGAAGTCTGCACGCAAGGTCGAGCCGAGCTAAGCTGACTATGGACATGTCAATACATGAGACCCAGGTGTGCATAACGCTAACCTATTTGGAAGAAAGGACGAGTTGTTTGCGAAGGAAGAGGTCACATGCTATAGCCCCAGGAACGGCAAGAGCGGTCTTCTAGGGCGTTAACTTGCCATAAATTTCCCATGGAGCTGTGGGTTCAAAATGGCTGCCGCTGTTTTTAAATGGTTGCTTGGTAATTTGTGAAAAATGCACAGAGTTAATGCAGTCAATTGAAAATTTAAGAGGGATAAAAATTGACCCATAAACATTATCTGGTGAAATTTCATGAGAAAAAAAAAGAACTATAGGACAGGAGCTCGGATAAGCGCCTTAGATTATATCTCAAAAGATGCCAGATGAATACAATCTGACTGCCTTCTTAAGGCCGACACAAAAACCACAGTAAAAAAGGAATGCTGTTTTTTTATAATCCTGGGTTATCTAATGTTAAATCTGTGTATTGACATAACTTTTTAAAGCCCATTTAATCCTAATCTTCCCGCTATAATGTTATCTTTTCCGCTGAGAAGTGAAAATTGCGTAAGGCAATGCGAGATTCATTTCAGAATCAATCAATTCAACAATGCAAACCTTGTTTTTTCCTTATACTATCTATGAATTCATAAAAAAGTGCTCTGTCTATATGTTTTAACCCAAGGACAAAGAAACAGAGACTGTACTTTGGTATAAACTTGGCTCAATTTACATTTTTTGAAAGAGTTACTGTTTCTGTACCTGAAACATACCCTTACTGTTCTGTTAAATTTCTATACTATTTTTAGAAATTGATCACATAAATCAAAGAAAAAGCTGCATTTTTTTAATTCTAATTTCCAAGTTGACTTTTTCCTTTTTTTAAACTGGAAATGAACACAAACAAACTTAATATCTAAAAGGTCTGTTTATACAATATTTTAAACATAAATAAAAAGGAGATTTTTCACAATCAATCTCTTAAGACTAAGCCCTTTTTTAAACAAGTATAATATCTCAACATTAAAACAGAGGGTAAATATTTGTGGCTTGCAAAATGGCGTTCAATCAAAGAGCTGATAAAAAGCATTTAAAACAAATTTGGCCTGAATGAAAAATCGTGTGTAGTTGTATTGAGAGTGTTACGTGATGGTATTTAGTATGACAAGATAACATCATCAGACAGAGATAAATAAGCCTACCTGAATGACGAGATCTTTTCCGTAATGGGTCATCCTGACTCATGTCATCATCTGACTCTATGAGCACCGCGTTGTCCTGCATCTCGCTGGAAGAGCTGCGATCGCGCATTTGCTGCCACTTCCTTCGCTCTTCCGCAGGGTAAGGGATCTCCATGGTGGCTTCGCTGCTTTCCCTACTTGTTGGGCGTGAGTTTCGTGACAGGTCCAATGCTTTCGATACGTCTTCGCGCATTTCAGGAAAAGGCATTCTTCCTGACAGCATGTACGGCTGGGGAATCACCAACATCGGGTTGATCATATTCGTTGCTGACTGGTTAGCGTGGTACGGCATCATACCGTAGAGAAAACTCGCAGCCGCTCCAGCCTTTGATGGCGGAATGTTTGACTGCTCCGCCATCTGCGCTGCATCTAATCCCTTAACCTCCGCTGACGCAGATTTTGAATGCGTGCTCAGCGAACTAGAAGTACTATCGCACTGCTCCACTCCGCCATTATGATCTGTCACACTAGATGAATTTTTCTCTGAACTCGGCCTCTCCCCATAAGCAGAATCATCCGTCTCATCCTTTATCCTCGACGCCACTACAGCGGCGTTATCTGCCATCTTCTCTGCACTGCGAGTGGCCCTACCCACGGCTCAGTACGAAGGAACAATGTGTCTTATTCATGCAGCGCTGTGGATGCAGCAGGCGCGGTCACCCATACTAAATATCCGTGCATTCAGTCGTATGCAATTTCCCCTGGCATCAATATTAGCCAAGCGTACTTGCACCGTTGATCAAAGGTGACTGCCGAGGAGCGGTGCCGTAGAAGGTCGAAGGTTGTAGGTCGTATATTGAATATGCCCAGGTCCAATCAACTTACAGCTCCTTGTGATTGTTAACTCACCTGAAGTAATAAGAAAAAGAGAAAACTTCCATCATTTCAGATTATCACATTTGTTTTTTTTTCTAAGCCTAGAGTGATCTAGAGGCAAAGACAGAATATTTTTCTTCATCTCTCATCATCATCTATTTTTGTTTAGCTTCAGTGTTTTGAATAAGCAGTTAGAAAAACATTCATCATTTCTCATCATCGTCAGTTTTGCTGTGTAAGAGGCCTGGAAGCTGTAGCCTTAGCAAATCACTGCAACAAGAATGATTCCCTGGCATCCTCCGCACGACGAAGAACTCGTTCACGTGTGGTCGCCCCTCGTAAACATTTCAGCTCCTGGCATCACCCATTCATTACTCCCATTGGAGCATAAACCCAGGGCAAAAAAGTGGGCTGGACTGACCCCATCCAATCCCATATGTTTACCTGCGTCAGTCACTCACTCTTGGATGCCTACCCTTTTTAGGCTCAACCAAACAGAACCAGGGTTTTTGAAAAAAAAATAACACAGGTAAGCAAACAGTGTTTTCTGACCAACAGCATTTGATTTCACATTGGCATTGGCTGCCAGTCTCTCCCTTTGTTGTCATCCAGCGCATTGGATGAAAGCCAAGAACAAAAAACATTGCTTAGAATCTGACCAACTGTTTTTGTTGTTTTGCATTGGTGGTTTTTCATATGCTGCTAGGGTTATGTTCTCATAACTATGTGATATGGACAGGAATTGAAGGTAGAAAAAAATTGTTTGGAAGCTAGAAAGTAGCTGACCCTAGAGGACCAAGGGAGATAAGTGCTCGCATCACTGGATGCAGATGGTGATTAATGCATGCCTAATTTTATCAAATTATGACTAATATAACATGTGACTAGGTTGCTGCATCGGATTGGGTATTGGCAAGTGCCGCAGGAATTCTCCGAATGGAACAGTAGTTTTGCATGGGCATTGCTGATTCAAAGGTTAATTTTCACTGGTAGTAAATAAGTAAACAAGGTCAATGGAATTTTATCTCATTTATCGTTACAGTTATTTTAATAAATATGATTATTATTCTTTGAAGTAAAACTGTGAAGAAATTAAAGTCATACGCCAGTCAGTGAAGCAAGTAAGAACAGCTATATTGTAATCCTTAAAAAGAACATTTTGAAATTAAATTTTGTTAAAATTCTAAAATTTTTTTGCAGTCAGTGAAAACAAATCATTGACCATGAAATCAGGTTGAATAGAACTATTTTTAAAAAATATATAGCTTATTTTTCTTTGTCAATAACAGAAATAGGGTAGGTGATACAAGATAGATGATAAGCAAAGAAACTATGAATAGTAGAATGACATAATTCTCTCATAGAGGTATTATCACTTTTTTGCAATTCACTCAAAACTTTTGGTATGATTCGGATAAAAAACAAACAAATTTCCCTTAAGACACAAAATGCAGAGGCCAAGGCTAGACAATGCCATTACAAAACTTTCATCTTTTTTTTTTCTCTTGTCTTCTTCCAGAGCATTTCTGTCTCTGGAAACCAAACATATTACATGAAACTTGAATCCTCTTCTAAGAGATTTAACCCGATCATGGTTCTAATCTGCTGTAATTCATGTGTAAATATTTTTTTTGGTTGAATTAAACATAATGCAGGGTTGACATGTCTAACTGGAAACAAACAACTAAAATAGCTGTCCTGCGTTTCTTGGTTTTATGAGTAGTTTTTTTCCAAAAGAGTTGCATATACTGCATTTTTCTACAACAAACTATGATTCTTCTGTTCCTAGTCAGACCTTTTTTTCTGGAAAATGTTTTCTGTAGGATTGTCCACAAAAAGGAACACACTTTTGTATAATTCTATATAAGATGAGGGAAAGAACGGAATAATTGTACAGAAATAAACTCTATGAGAGTTGTTTGTTTATCACTGATAGATTACAATGACCAACGACCTTGTTTGAAAGAATGAACATGTCCTTAAACACTGGATCCAAATTCTCACATTTTTGATAAACAGCAGCATCCCTGTTTTATGCATGAATAAACAACTCAAATAATAATCATGTCCATTAAAATATAAGAAAGCAGTAGAATGACCAGTGGAAAGCATCAAAATCCATGTTCCTTCCAACTTTCTGTAAGTAAAGAACATCTGTTAAAATATAAACACTATTCAGTGGAACCCTGATGCTTATAAAGTGATTTTTATTGTATCTCTTTCTGTACAGCTCTTTTTTATATCCAGTGATAATATAAACAAACTTATTGGTATGTGATAATGTACTACAACTGCTTACAACATAGTTTACATGCTGTTTTGCAACATAAGCACTTACACTTCTTCTATGTCTACACATACTGCAATGTAACTTTCTCCAATTCACACCTTAAAAATGATAAAACTCCTGTGATAAACTGTTAATATTTCCTTCTGAGAGGTCATTTCAAAGTAAATCATCTAATTAGAAATGTCATAAAACATGTTTTTGTCTATAAGAAGATTAGATTTAGTGGGTAAATCCTGGATAGGATACCTTTAATTAAAATAGAAAGAAGACCTTGCAACCTGTATGTGAAAATAAACTCTTAGCTAGGAACTGCTTATAGAACAGCTCAAAACAAGCTGTTTTGCCCCAAAAGAACTTCACCAGAAGAGAAGAAAAAAAGGCCCAGTTTTCATCTTCTGAAAAGAAAATCACTGGATGAAGAAAAACGCGATCTCCCCTGACCTCTGTGTGTGCACGAACATATCAATTCTCTCACACCAACAACAAGGTATAAAGTTACACCATCAGAAAAAGAAGCGGAACATTTCCACTGGAAAGCATGGCGCAAGATAGGCTAATCTTATGTAAACAAGCAAGTACTATATAAATTAATCCTAGCATGTCCTTAAGGTCGGTTGTCAAATAAATCAATCTGTGTGCGCTGACAGGCTATTGCTTTCTCATTCACAGGACTCCAGGTACTACACTACTCCTTTCACTACCATCCTTTGGGCATTTTTCAAAACAAAATGTTATAAGCATACACTGTATGGGACTAAGAGCTTTTACTTCCCTTTTAGCATTTACCGATTAATCGTCAACTGCGAAACCTTTTTTGTTATCGAATCTGTGGAAGAGTGAATGCCAGTTTTATGAATATTCCACAGAATTTTTCACATCTTTCAAGTGGCAAACTTATCTCAAATTACTCGTAGTGATTTTGTCTTTTAAATGTTTTAAACTTCTATGTAAAAATTATTCATTATCAAATGAATGTTTCTTTGATGCAGATCTGAATTTTCCCAACAACTTGTACTGTACATACACAGGTTTAAACATATTGTTTAGAAACATTTTCAAAATGGACTGTACTTTTTGACATACAAATTTTGTGAAATTGTCATCATTCTGTCCATTATGAACTTATTAACAAAATGTTAAACGATTTTATGATATTTTCTTCAAGAATTTTTTCAAAATTTTCCAAGAAAAAAGCCATTTCATACCCAAGCATAAAAAAACAAGTAAGAAAATAACACCACTTTGACCAAGGTTGGTTTGCTCTCAATAACATATGTGAGATGTGATATGTTTTTCATTATTTTTGGTTACTTGCATGCTACAGTTTTTTCACCAGGGGTCAAAGCTTGCAACTTTTCTCAAGAAGCTCCTGAAGATATTGTATGGCAATAACATGCTCCATTTAACTAGGTGTTATGGGCTTTTATGTTCCCTGAATGCTATCCTCCCTAAACAAAGGGTAATCTTATCCTTCTGATATTTTCAATCAAGGTACCAAGGACATATGTTGAAATTTCTATTCAGCGTCATGCAATCAGGCCAACCTGTCCTCCGATTGCACATCACCCTCCATTACCACGGTAACTGATTCTTGTTTTTATCAATAACATGGTTCACGTATTGTCTCAGAGGGCATAGGAGCCTAAAAAATTACTCTGCTAAGAGCTTTTTTTAAATTGAAAAATAATACAAAATAAAATTACTGACATGGAAACAAAAAACTACCTGGTTAAAAAAATGATAAATAGTTACATGATACATAAAAAATAAAAAATAAAAGGAAATAAATCTAAAACAATGTTGATGATGAAAAGCACAAAATGCATATTTTGGAACAAAAATTCTGACAGTACAGTACAGTACAGTACAGTACAGTACAGTACAGTACAGTACAGTACAGCCATAAATCAAAATAATAAGTTCACTTTCTATATTCCTGCACTACTTGGCAGTAGAGGTCTATGGTGGACAGGGGGCCTTCCCAGCATTGGAAATCAATGACATAATCTATGGACAGCTACCGGGGAGGGCCAGAACAGTCTTAACAGTGCAATACTGCAAGAAAACACTCTCTCAGTTATCAAATTTTCCTAGCTTAACTACAAGTCATGAGCTGGATCAAAGTAGGGCAATGTTTTTTTTAAAGACAATTAAAGTAGTTTGAAAACTTTATTACATTGTTGTTCCACAAAAAAAAAAAAAAAAAAAAAAGGTGTCATAGGCAAGGGTGGGCACCAATTATTTACTTTCTTAATATCATGCTAAAATTTAATGTTAAAATATTTCAAAACATGAAATCATGCTCAAACAATGTGATGTGTTGGCAGCAACTTTAGCAAAATTTTAGGCTTCTTGACAAATCCTAGCTGCAAACTCTTCATTTGCTAAAGACAGTGTTCACCTGTTTTTACCTTTCATACAATGATGTTGGGAACTTTCATGAGCAAAGAGACTGACAATGTTAAGAAAGGGGGCCCTCCCTTTTCCCCCTCCCCTCCAACCAAAAACTGAAACTCAAAAGCATATCTTGAAGTTCAACAGTCCCTTGATCAACTTTCTATCCTAAATACAAAAGAGAAAATATCAAAAAAAAAGGGAAATTACTTGTCATACCACTGTGAATGACTGTGGTGTATTGGCCAACCATGCAAACATCTAATTTAACAGATGGCAGCTATTAAATAAAAAAAAACAACAAAAAAACACTGGGTTTACAAGCACTTCTCTTCACTAAGAAAATGAC